AGGTCTCTCAAGAGTGGATATAAAAAGTATAAAAGTTGGAAATGAAATATCAAATTTTAAAGTAAGTGGCATTGTCTTTAAAAAAAATATTTCTTTATATTTTAGCTTTTCTCACAAGATTAAATTTTATTGTAAACATAAATTTTCTTTTTCTAATTTTTTTGTTTATCTCATCTATCTAACCACCTTTGCTTTGGCTTTAGTTAAGTTCCCTTGCCAAGGTTAATATTTATTATTCCAACTCTAGTTTGATTTTACTTAGGTTCAGTTAATTATTGCATGAGCAATGAGGTGTTACCTAACTCTTCACAAATTCTCAAACTCTCTCATAATCACCTTTCTCATGTTATATTGAAATTAAAGTTTAGTTACACTCTTTACAAACACAAGTAGCCAAGCACTCTAAGCCTCTAAATTTTTAACATTCCATAGTACAGCAAAACTTGTTCATGGAACCTTTTAAATCCCAAACTTTGGAAGCATTTATTAGTTTGAGACCTTAGGGGAAACATTATGGCATAACAGTTTGATATAAATATTTAAACAGAGTGCACTATATATGAATTCATGGTTATATAGTTTGTGCTATATAATGCCCTAACTATGATGAATAAAATATTTAAAGATTATATGGACATATTTATTATCTTATATATTGATAATGTTCTAGTTTTTAATGAAACATTGAAGAATGATTTGAAACACTTTAAGCTAGTCTATTAGAAGTTGCAAGAAAATAACTTATATGCTAAGGAAAGTAAATGTGTCTTTGATTAGTTTCATATGAACATTCTTGGACTAAAAAATTATATTGGTATTGTGAAGTCCAAGTGTATAGCTATGATGCCGTATACTAATATTAGCATAGTGGGATTTTAGTGGCCATCAGATTTGTTTCAATCCAAACCATTCACTCCTATATACATATATATATATATAGCATATGTGGTTTTCACTTTTTATCCATAGTGATTTACTATAGAATAACCATAAAGTGGAACCTAACCCTTGGACACATGTGCCAAGAGCAATGGAGTGGGACCTAAGTTTTAGGGCCTTAGGCTATTGAATAAAGGGATAGAACTGTCATGAATGTGACTTTAGGTATCGAAAGTTATCTATCAACTATCCTTTTAGATATTCTTTCCTTACTGCCACGACAGTAGGAGGTCGATATTGCTGGACCTATTATTAGTCTCCACCTGAGCTAGTTGAGAAATTGATCATCACATGTGCACTTAGACCAGAAGGGCACTAAGGAAGGAAATCCTAAGTTGTCATTTATCAAGCAGACTTAACATGATGTTGACTTGCACTTGCTAGTGTTGGGAACCCCCATGATATTGAGCTTGGTCTCTCAATATCGCTAAATGATAGTTTACTGTATCTGCCAAACACCTTTACTATCATGCCTTTTGTGTTAGTCTCATTTCGGTCCCAAATGCTATTTATGGAAAAGTGGAAAAGGTTCTTATTCATGGACTCTTTCCCTCTATATTTAAACCCCATAGACCATTTCTCAAGTCGTTCTCTTTGGTTGCTTACAATCCATCACACTTCCCTACAAGTTCACGCCCTCGTGAATGAAAGTTGAGAGTCGTAACTCTCCCAAGAGCCCACTGTCTTGACACTCTACCTCGAGTCGACCTAATGGGAGCAAACTAGACCAACCAGATGTCAATCAACTTGTGGTGTGATTCCCCTAGCCAACCAATAGAGTCAAACTCAAGACCACTCTGATACCAAATATAAGCTCCTGAATTTAGACTCCTAATCCAGTACTATTCAAACCCAAGGACGCTTAACCCAAGTATCCCAAGACTTTTAACCAATTGGAAAAGGGGGTGCATTTTTATTCATGGGCCCTTTCCCTTTATATTTGAACCCCATGGACCATGTCTTGAGTTGTTCTTTTTGGTTACTTACAAATGGGTAAGTCGGGTATGGCTGACCAATCTGAAGCATAATTTAGCTCCCGTTTGCGTGCTTATCCTTGTTCTGCGTCCGGCTTGGGTCTAAGCTCAAACTCCACACCATGCTAGTTGGTGGAGTACCCATATCCTTGCGTTAGGCCGCTAGTATGCTGAAATAGTGCTAAACTCCATTTGGCTCCATTTTACGTATTGGTCCTAACATTGGGATGCTGGATACTCTAGGACTGTTCTAAGTCGCTCCGAACTCCTGTCCCCTCACTCCTTGGACTGTATGTTTGAGAATTGCTCTATGGTTTGGTTCTATCACTCCTTAGCTCTATACTTGGGAGTTTGGCACCGTTCCTTTGTTCAATGGCCCAAGGCTCTGAACCTCAGGTTCCACACCACTATCCTATAGACACGTGGCATATAACACGTGGCACATGGAGGGTTTAGGTTCCACTTCGCGGTGTTATCTTATAGTAAATCACCATAGGATAAAGGGTAAAAACCACGTGTGCTACAAGAGCCAAACTTCCAAGCATACAACCAAAAAACGAAAGAGCTAAAACATAGAACAACTCTTAAGTATACAACTATAAAGCAAAAGAGCCAGAGCACTGGGTGACATTGGAATGATATTGGAGCATCCAACATCCTAATACCAAGACTAGCATGTAAATGGAACAAAATAAATTCTAACGCTAGTTTAATATACAAGTGGTGTAACATAAGGATATAGGTATTCTACCAGTTAGTATGGTATATCAAGTTAGATGTAAAATAAGGATAGACACACTTAGTGAGGAGCTAAACTTTTAAAACTCTACATAACTTTAGATTATTATGACTAATAATACCAAAGATTGTTCATCAGAAAAATATATGTATTATTGCTATGTCTTTGTCAGGTTTAGATTAAAAGATTAAAAGAAGTTAATCTTCGAGGGTAATCACAATAACTTATTAAATATAAAATGATATTAGATTACAAATCAAGACATGGAAACAACACCATTTTGTTATCTACATTTTATAGATATGCCCAATTAGAAAATCTAGACACTTTTCATGAATAGAGAATGGGATTAAATAGAACCAATATATAGGGCATGATAACAAGTGTTTTAGTGGATACAAAAAGCTATCACATAATAAATATTGAGGGATTAAACTCAATATTGCAAGGGTTCCCACTATTAGCAAGTGTAAGATAATATAAATTTTTCATCACTATATCAAATGACAATTTTTTTTCCTTAATGCCCTTCTTATTTAACTGCACACATGTTGACCAATTTTGGGTGGATATAGGTAAAAAGTATAAACCTTCTACCATCATAACAATAAAAGAAGAATATTATAGGACTTACTAACAAATAATTTTCAATACCTTTAATCATATTCACAATAATATAGTGTAAACTCCTGAATTTACTTCCCGAGAGATCAATTAACTTAAGACTACTGAAACCCAAGGATGTTTAACTCTAAGTATCATAAAATCTTTAACCAATTGGAAAAAGGGATATATTTTTGTTCATAAGTCTTTTTTACTATAAATTTATACAAGTTTACACTTTTATTACTAAAAGCTAAAAGCTGTAGCTCTTCTAAAAGCCCCAATTCTCCAAAAAACCCTACTCTCTTGACATCCTACCCCTCAAGTAAACTTTACTTGCCATCTCAATATATGGTGTGATTCTTTTAGCTAACAATTAAGAGTCAAACCTAAGACCCCTTTGATACTAAATATAAACTCTTGAATTTGAATTATTTTTCTCTCTATATTTAAACCCTTATGGATAATCTATTGAGTTGTTCTCTTTAGTTGCTTATATATAATTGATGATGGTGTAATTAAGGTAGATCTAAGAAGTGGTGAAGTCTTGAGAAGTTTTAACCACTATAGAAAATATTCACTCTTTTCTCAATTTGGTAGAATATTATCGCAAGTTTCTTCATAATTTTGCAATTACTCTTCTGTTGATTAAGTTAACAAAAAGTGATATACAATTTCCTTGAACACTAATTTATCATCATATTTTTGTACAATTGAAGGAGATCTTGAATATGGTTTTTATTCTTAGAATTTTAGATCTTGATAAACCTTTCAAAGTGCATTGTGATACATTTGGCTATATTATATTGATGTTATATTACGACAAGATTGTGACAATATAATTGATATTACATTAAAGTAGCATGGTTGTCTTGTTGTATTTTACTCCAAGACATAAACAAACAAAGATGGCCTACACAATAAAAGAGATGTTTGTATAGTGTCAATGTTAGAACATTGGAAACACTATTTGGATGGATGTATTAATATTTATATAGATAATAATATGTTTAATTACTTTGCAATACAACAAAAGTTTATGTCAAAGTAAGCTCATTAGCAAGAGAAGCTCAATATCAAATCATCTAAAAACCTAATAAACCTTACTAGTATTGTAATAAAAGTAGGTTAGAAGTTGAAATACATTTCTAAGACTAACATAACCATTTCAGAGTATGACACTGAACTTTGTTATTTATTTGCTAAAATTAAATGGTTATAACACTTTGATAGTGGTTGTGAATTAATTATTAAATGTTGCACAGTTTATCCCAATTGTATAAATAATAAATGCTAAATAAACAATAAAGCTCTTTTTCCATAAAGTGGTAAATGATTATAACACTTTGATAATGGTTATTGATTAATTATCAAAGATTACACACTTTATCCCAATTGTGTAAAACTCTTTTTTGATAAAGTGGTATGGGTTTATGGATATCCCCAATAAATGATTTCATATAGGAATTCAAGATTTATGTGAGAGTTTTGGGTATATTATTTAAATTTTTAGGTACCAAATTGAAATTCATTATAATTTATCATCTTTAAACAGATGGATAGACTAAATATGTAAATGCTCAAATTGAGAATTATCTATGGTACTATGTTGCATTAAATTAATGCATCTAGATTAAAATTATTGTATATTTTCCAATTGCATCATATACTCTCCAAAATTGTAGAATTTCACAGAGAAAGGCATACAATTTTGTAAAGTTTGTAAAATTTATTGGACAAACTTGTGCATATTGTAAAATACTCTAATTGAAATATTTATTACATATTTTAATATTCATGCATGCCATACAAATTGCTTGAGAAGCTGTGCTCATAGCAGAGAGATTAACTTCGAAAAGGTCACTTCAATTGGAGATGGAGGGGAGTATCTTGAAGCCAGCTTAAAGAGCATAAGATTCCACTCCCAGGGAGTCTCTGACTAAACCTCATTTGGTGTCTGTTTTATTCCACCATTTCTCTGTATTTGGAGAGAGCTTCCCTGGAAAAGACATACAATCAGGAGAAACTAGTGAAGAAAAATAGAATCCATCCAACCTTCGCAAATTCAGTTGGTTTTCATACTCCTGTAGCTTCATCTTCTGATTTCGAAGAGTCTAGCAAGAGAAAACAAACTTAGAAAAGTTCTATACAATGTCAAACTTACCAAGGGCTTGGAGCTGGCCGCATGAGGAGCCAGGAGCTGCTGGCACCTCTCGAATCGATTGCCAAGTTCATTTACCTAGAGAGCACCAATTGGTTCGTAATAAAAAATGTTTGCTCAATGCTACCAGATCATCCACGCGCTGGTCTCGCACTCCCCTCTCGGTAGCGTCAGCGATCGCCTCGATCAACTGGCAAGAACAAACAAGAGAAGTCTAGACTGTTATCAATGACAAGGACTATTTACCGGGAACAAATGGAACTGCGACAGAAGATTGGACGCGGCGCCGAGCTGGGGCTGCTGCTGCTGGACCATCGGCTGCTGCGGCATTCGCAATTGCTGCTGGAGCGATTGCTGGTGATGGATTCCTCCCGACGACCACGACATTGCTTTTCCCACCAAAACCCTAGTCTATGGAATGGACAATGTAGCTCTTAAATTTCCTCGATTCACTCTCCCTGTGAACAATCCTCCAGTCGAGGATCATTCCCGGGCGATTAGCCTCGAATCCTATGCCGAGCGTATCAAGAGCGCGTCCAGGAACAGGGATCCCTCCTCGGGGAAGCATCTCCACTCTGAGATCTTCCGGAGCGATCACTGGAACAATCGCTACCTCGCGAATCTGCTGGTGGAGATGTATGGCAAATGCGGCCTCGTTGGAGAGGCGCGCAAGGTCTTCGACGCTATCGAGGAGCCGAATTCCTTCTCCTGGAACATCATGGTCGCAGCCTACGCTCAAAACGGGCAGCTCGACCACGCCAAGAAGCTCTACGACCGGATGGCGATCAAGGACGTGATCGCGGGCAATGTCCTCATCACCGCATTCGCGCAGGGCGGGCGGCTGCGCGAGGCGAGAGATTTGTTCGATTCGATCCCCCGCCGCGATGCGGTGTCGTGGAACGCGATGATCCGGGGCTATGCCGTGAACGGCCATTTGGACGAGGCAAAGCAATGCTTCGCAAAGATGCCCAACCCTAATTCCGTGACCTGGACAACCATAGTGGCGGCTCTCGCGGAGAACGGTAATATCGACGATGCTAAAGCGATGTTTGACAAAATGCCGGAGCGCAATGTGGTAGCCTGGACGTCCATCGTTGCGGCATATGCCCAAAACGGGCATCTAGACGAGGCAAGAGAGCTCTTTGAGAAGATGCCGCATAGAAATTCCTATTCCTGGAACACAATGATCTCCGTCTACGTCCAAAACAAGGACCTCCACGAAGCCAAGAGGATCTTCGACGCGATGCCCGGAAAGAACCTCGTATCTTGGACCCCGCTTATATCGGCATATGCCCAAAGCGGGCATCTGGACGAGGCAAAGAGGCTCTTTGACGAGATGCCACAGCCGGACGTGGTGCTGTGGACAGCCATGATCAAAGCATATGCGGAGAATGGGAATATTACCGAGGCCCGGCGTACCTTTGACCTCATGCCACAAAGGAATATTGTCACCTGGAACGTGATGCTGGCGGCGTACTGCCAGGTCGGCCTCTTGCGTGACGCCACGCGACAGTTCGAGGAAATGCCCGAGCGGGACCTTGTGTCGTACACAACGGTCATTTCAGCTGAGGCGCAGTACGGAAGGCTTGAAAGGGCCAGAGCTTTGTTTGACGAGATGCCGCTGCGGGATATCGTGGCATGGAACACTATCATCGCGGCATATTCTCAGGCTGGGAATCTGTCCGAAGCAAGGAATCTATTCGAAAAGATGAACACTCACGACGTAGTGAGTTGCAACATTATGATCGATGCGTATACCCGCTTGGGCTACTTGGAAGAAGCGAAAAGGGAACTTGGAAAAATGCCCAGGCAAGACGTGATCTCCTGGACAACACTTATTACAGCATATGCCTTCTTTGGGTATGTGGAAGAGGCCAAAGCGTTGTTTGATTCCACCCCAGAAAAGAATCTTCTGGCGTGGAACACGCTGCTAGAAGCGAACTGCCAGCACGGCGAACTGGATGATGCCCGGGCATTGTTTGAGAATATGCCAGAGTGGGATACCATATCCTGGACGATCATGATCACGGCATATGCCCACAAGGGGCATATTGCCCAGGCGCAGCGCTTCTTCGACGGCATCCAGCAACGCGACGTGGCGTCCTGGAACGCGATGATCGTCGCCTATGCCCTAAACGGCTACCGCGCGCGATCGATCGAGCTCCTGGGCGAACTAGGCGTCGCGGGAATGGATCCTGACGAGGTGACATTCACAAGCGTCATGGGCGCGTGCGGCCACGCGGGATCCGTGGACGCCGCCCGGGATTACCTGCGATCGATGCGAGTGGATCGTGGATTGGCGCCCCGGGAAGAACACTACGCGTGCGTGATCGATGCGCTGTGCCGCGCGGGGCAGATCCACAGGGCCGAGGATCTAATCGCGAACATGCCGTTTCTTCCGGGGATCACGGAGTGGACGAGTCTGATCGCCGCGTGTAAGTCGCAACGCGACGTGGAGAGGGTGCTCGCGCGGGTGTCCGAGCTGGAGCACAACTCCGAGGTGTACGTGCTCCTCTCCAATAGCATCATGCCACGGAGCGAGAGGGTGACGTCGGTGTGACGGCACGATGGAGGCGCGCAAATGGTGCCGACGTGGACAACATCTGGCAGTGATGTGGACTTCTTTGTACGTTTTTTTCCAAGAGATGGGAGGAAAAGAGCTCCACGCCTAGAGCCTAGGTTTTTAGTACTCGCGCGGTTGGCCGGGAATTTCCAGCTCCAGGTATTTGCTCTCAAACCCTAGCGATCCGGCGCCGTGCGCGCGACGGCGGCTGCAGAATTCCTGGTGAAATCTCAATGCATTTGAGCTGCTTGATCTTCTGCCATGGAAGTCGAGGCGGATGTTCCGGTCCAGGAATCTAGTGAATCCGAGGCCCCGAAGAAGGCGGAGGTAATGGAATCGCAGGACGCTGTTTCCAGCTACAGAGTTGTAGATGCGGTTGCAGAGAGCGAAGGGGATTGGCCGGGGCCAAGATGTGGGCACACTCTCACAGCGCTCGCTCCAATTGGCAAGGAAGGCACTGCCGTCTACATTGCCCATCGCCTTGTGCTGTTTGGAGGTGCCACGGCTCTGGAAGGAGCATCTGGAACTGGACCGCCCCTCTCGCCGTCTTCTGGAGACCCTGGAATCAGTAAGTGGTGTTCTTCCTTTTGTTTTCTCGGGAATTAACGAGTCCCGTGATCTCCAGGAATCGCTGAAGTTACTGCAAACGTCCATTGCTTTGACACTGCTTCGAAAAAATGGCAAAAGTATGTTACTCTCTATTTTTTGCGCCTTTCTTTTTGTTGTTACTTCCTTGGACGATTCTCTTATGATCGATGCGAATTTTGCAGGCTCAATCCTTCAGGTATCGCTCCATCACCAAGAGCTGCTCATGCTGCAGCGGCAGTGGGTCCGATGGTTGTTTTTCAGGTACGTGTTTTACTTTCGGAGAACTTTGCAAATGGTTCTGCATTGTAGGGTGGCATCGGTCCTGCTGGACTCTCATCGGATGACTTGCATGTCTTGGATTTGTCTCAGCCCGAGGCAAAATGGCATAGGTAGAAGATTTCATGTAACGGGAATGTTGCTTGACTTTTATTCCGCAGGGTGGTTGTCAAAGAAGGACCACGGCCAGGCCCACGCTATGGGCATGTTATGGCACTAGTTGCACAATTCTTGATACTGGTTTCTGGGAACGACGGTACAGTTATGAGTGCTAAGGCTTTCAAGTTTATAAGCGATGTATACTTGAGCAGGTGTTCGACTTTTCTCGGATGTTTGGGTTCTAGACACGACGAAGAAGCCTTACCAATGGGAGAAGGTTGAAGCCGGTGGCGATGGACCTCCGCCTTGCATGTAGGTGCATGGGTAAACATCAAACCCCGTCACTTTTTCTTGTTCTAACTGCGCTGACGCTCATTATCAGGTATGCAGCCGCAAGCACACGAAAGGATGGCGTACTTCTATTTTGCGGTGGGAGGGATTCAAACGGTGTGGTAAGGTTTCCACACTTTCCCATTAGAACAAAGTCCCTGATGCCTCGACTTTGTAGCCTGTTCCTGGTATATATCGTCTTGAGAGGAATCAAATTGGGCAGTGGCACTGGGATAGGTTGCCTGGGACCTCACCTTCTCCTCGGTATCAGCATGCAGCGGTATATTGCTTCCACTTATCTTGAAAATATTAACTCTCCTCTATTTGAAGGCTTTTGCAGATGCCAGATTTCACATTTCTGGCGGAGCTCAAGGGCGTGGACATATTGTGGATGACGCGTCGTCTTTTGCAGGCAAGTTGTGGAACCCGTTTAATCAAACAGCTTACTTTTTTTGTTCAATCTAACAGTTTTTGATACGAATTCGGGAGTCTGGTACGAGGCTAAGTCCACTGGTGCCTCCGATGAGTCTCTTGCACTCACTAAACGTTGTAGACATGCTGCGGTGGGTCTGGGGAAGACTATGTACATTTATGGCGGCTTGAAATCAGGTGACATTCTGACCTCACATGCCTTGTCTATGTTCTCATTATGTACTTGTAGTTTAGGTGTGCTGTTTAGTGACCTGCTAGTTGCTGACGACGGGAAGCTGGAGGCTGCTTGCCGTCGGAACGAGAGCAATGCGACCATACGGTAATTGTATGTTTTCCGAAGTCTTAAATAGCTTCAACTTTAAAATCTTCAGGAGAGATCCGAAAGATCTTCAGCTTTTGGTTGAAGCATCGACTGCTGAGGCCGAGGCTATGACCGCTATCATGGATAAGGTACAAAGCCAAAATAACGGGGTTGCAGTTGAAAGTGTCTCGCCATCTTCCGACTTACCTATGCCCAATGCCATGCCCGGCTCGGACGTTCGACTTCATCACAGAGCGGTAAGTAAAACAGTGAAGAATGGATCTAATGAAGAGCTTGTTGTTCTCCGATTGCTCTAGATTGTTGCCACAGAGCCGGGAGGTGGAACGTTACGAAGTCTAGTGAGGCAGCTCTCCTTGGACCGTTTTGAAAACGAGGGACGAAGGGTGACTCGTGAAATTTCGAGGAGAGTCTTAGAAAGACAAATTTCGATGTACGGTGTACATAAGAAGGTGTGTTTCTCTGCTCGTTCGATGAGTTCGTACTTACTAGGATACGGTTTTCAGGTTTTGGCTCTCTTGTTAAAGCCCCGAGAATGGAAACCTTCCTTGCGGAGAAATCTATTTCTTGAATTCAACGAGGTTCTAGAGCTCTGTGACTCGGCAGAAAACATCTTTAGAGCCGAGCCTAATGTTCTAAAATTGAAAGCTCCCGTCAAAATTTTTGGCGACATCCATGGGCAATTTGGAGATCTGATGCGCTTGTTTAACGAATACGGATCGCCGTCTACAGCTGGAGATATTTCGTAAGACTTTTCTACAAGACTTTTCTTTGGTTTTAACACTTGTAGTACTGGCTACAGGTACATTGATTATCTTTTCCTTGGTGACTACGTGGATCGTGGACAACATAGCCTGGAAACTATTTTCTTGCTGCTAGCATTGAAGGTAGCACTTTACATTTATCACGCAGACTGATAAGTTCTCTCACTGGTTTTAGATTGAGCACCCTGAACACGTGCATATGATTCGAGGCAACCACGAAGCTCAAGACATCAATGCGCTCTTTGGCTTCCGCACCGAGTGTGTAGAACGAATGGTTTGTGTGCGTTTCTACAGTGCACTGTGGCGCCTAACTATTGAGCTTTTGGACAGGGCGAGTGGGAAGGAGTATGGGCCTGGCACCGCATGAACCAGCTCTTCAACTGGCTGCCCCTTGCCGCAGTGATAGAGGAAAAAATTATCTGCATGCACGGTGGGATTGGCAAGTCCATCAACCACATTTCTCAGATCGACAACCTTGTTCGTCCAATCACAATGGATACAGGATCCAATGTCCTGATGGATCTTCTTTGGTAAGCTGGGCGGTTCTGTCATCTTCAAGCGCCTGACTTGTGTTTGACAGGTCCGATCCAACTGAGAACGACAGCATCCAAGGCATTCAACCAAACGCTCGTGGACCAGGCCTGGTTACGTTTGGCGTAAGTAACTCTCGATTGGAACAAAACTTGCTCATGGAGTCATCGTGGTTTTGCAGCCGGACAGAGTGATGGACTTCTGCAATAACAACAACCTGGACTTGATCATCAGAGCGCACGAATGCGTGATGGATGGGTTTGAACGATTCGCCCAGGGGCACCTGATAACTCTCTTCTCTGCGACAAACTACTGCGGTTAGTCCGTCAATCGTCTCTTTTGCGTGGCCTTTGAGCGTTTCGAGCTCTTGCAGGCACGGCCAACAATGCGGGAGCGCTCTTGGTCCTCGGGAGAGACCTCGTCGTTGTGCCAAAACTGATCCATCCATTGCCTCCGTTCGACGAGGACGAGATGGACGTGACATGGATGCAGGTGAGAAGAAACGAGATGAAAAGCTTGGCAATGACGACATGGTTTTGTGTGTATGATCTCAGGAGTTGAATGCCCAGAGGCCGCCGACGCCAACGAGAGGAAGACCGCCGTCTGTGGCGGATCGAAGCTCTCTGGCTTACATCTAACGTGTAGTTTGTATCGTCGTTTGGTTTCGTCCCTGTACATTCCAGATGGATTAGTTCTCCAACTGTTTTACAAATTCTTTCAAAGTGCAGTGTTATAGCATAAACGAACAAATAAAAAACTTCAAAACTTCGAAAGATAACGTCTAAGATCAGAGTGGCGCAACGGAGGCGTGGTGGGCCCATAACCCACAGGTCGGAGGATCGAAACCTCCCTCTGATAATTTGACAGTTTTAACTTTTCGACCTTTAAAAACTATCAAAATACACACTATCCGAAAAAATTCACAAAAAGTATTTCTACCGCTTGGAAATATTCTTATCGTATCCACAGGTTTTAGGGCGGCATGGCGATGGCAGTGGGAGTGTTGCGGCTCGCAAGCCCAGTGCTGCCCCAGCAGCAGTCGATAGCCGTGGTGCCCATGGCTCACACTGGCCGGAAAACCAGGAAGGGCGCCAAGATAATGAAGTCGATCTACTCGCCTGCGGGGTTTAACATCCGGCGCATCCGACTGCGAAAGAAATGGAGCGAAAATCCCCCTCCCACCGACGCCCCCGCGTCGTCGAAATCGCCCAGGCCTTCGCCCAAGTCCGCCCGAGCCAGCCCAGACAAATGTAAGTGCCAAACCACCACTTCTTTCGTCAAATTCCAACAAATTCGTGTGTTACAGCAGCAGAGACAGCAGTCGCGACCCCGGAAGCAAGCCCAGAAGCGGCAGAGGCAACGACTGCAACTGCATCGAGCGAGGCTTAGCCATTCCCTTGTTTTTAGGGTTCTTCGCGAGAACCGTCCATCAATTCGTAAAAACAAAAAATCTCTATCCACATGAGAGCAGTAGTTGGGCTCTACTCTGAGATCGAACGCTCCAGCGGATGATAGGGCCGTGGAATACAAAGTTCCCCTCCACCGACACTGCCAGCCTTGAATTTCAGAGGCTCAATCTCTCTCTTAGTAGCTTCATCCAGTAAAGGAATTGCCTCTTGAAGCCTCCTATTTTCCATTGAACCACTCCAAAGTTATAAATGTTGTTCTTGTGTAAGTTGGCTCTTAGTCCCAATAGCCCTGCCTAGATCTGCAAAAAACATCATCAGAGGATAAAAAAAGAAGTTTTTGGTTGGAACTTTTGAAATAAGAGTTTTTTAGATGGGACTTTTGTGTTTTAAGCTAAAATTTGCATAAAATATAGCTTTACATTGTTGTACTTTATATTATTTATCCATTAAATATAATATTGTAATTGAAAACTTTTGGAGCATAAAATAATGTTAAACTTTAAAATTATAGTCATAAAAAATACTATTAACAAATAAATTCTTAAAAAGTTTTTATTAGCCATATTTTATATAATATATTTTTTAAAAAAAGTTCTTATTAGTAAAAGGAAGCATTTAGTGAAATTTTGGAAATGTTTTAAAAAATAGTTGGAAAGAATATAAACTTTTAAAATATAATTTTATTTATATATAATTTATTATGAAGTTTTATTTTTAAATGGTAGCTTTATTTCTTTTTTGTTTTGACACATTTTTCAGAAACTTGAAGCTAAAACAAATTTAATAACAGCTTTTTATATATGTATTTGTATCAAAATGTAAAAATTTCTAATAGTAGTATTAGGTTTCTTACTTTAGATAAAATATATGGGGTTTTTTCAAAGATTATTGTTGATAAAAAAAATATTTTGATGGAAACTTAAATAACATTATGATATAAGGTAGCATTTTATTGTAACAAATAAAAATAAAAATATTATATTATAAATTTACATAATAAATATGAGTAAGTATGATATAGTTTTATTAATATATATATACAATTTGTAATAGAGTACTTCTCATTCAACCCCAAAATGAGAAGTGCTCTTAAATTAAACTTCATGCTATAATTTACCCCAGAGTTTTAAGTTTTCTCCATTACTCCCAATCAACAATTTACCATTTGCACATCTCTGACACTTATAATAAACTTGATGAACCACTTCTCATACCTTACTTGAAGTGGTAGCATTCTTCACCATCAAAACATCCTCAAACCTAACTCACTCAATCAAAATTGAGGTGATATAAACATCCTTGAAGTCCTCTACATGCATTTGTATCTCAATTGTTATTCTGGGGACAACTTCCCAAATTCTACTTCATTCAACTATGATTGCAACAACTCCTTTCCAATGACTAACCCAAGAACCTTCTTTATTTCAACTTTGTCTCAACAATTGAGACCCATCTAAAAGCATTCTTATGTGACGAAAGAAGCTTTGATCCCTTAGATCCACTAGATTTCCTTATCACTTAAAGATCAGTGTCCCTCGTAGTCACACCTTTTAATGGCAACCTCTCAACCCCCTTCCAACCTCCTCACCAATTAAAGCACCGCCTTAAGAAATACTTAATTCTCTATATTGATCAAAAGGATACAACTTGCCTCCATAAGTCCAACAGAAGACTTAGATTCCTGTGAGTTGCTTCTGTAGTCGTTTGCAAAGAACTGGATCTAAAAAAGCCTTGATTTCTTTGTGTTTTAACAGATTAAATTCAAACAGATGCATTAAGAATTGAATGATCTCTCAGAGAACAATCGCTCTTGAGAACTCCCCTGCTCTTTCCTTGTAAATTAGATCAATTTCTTGTTTTCTTTTTCACAGGTGGTAAGTTGTAGAAAAGCTTTCTCATAGATTAGTTTTAACTTGTAATATCAAATCTGCCAGAAGAGAGAAATTCTCATGTGAGCATGATCATAACCTACAGGGTTACGAGATCGCCTATTACGGGCTGTAGTCGTCCCTGCAAATCTCCTGAATCCTGGAAGGAAGAAATGTTTGTAAGAAGTTTATGATCTATAGAGATTATAAATCATGAGAACTCACAAGCTTATAAGTATAAATTACATATCGTAAAGCACTGATTCCAAATTACATGCACACCCATCTTCTCATATGGAGGCACTGGATGGATTGAACTCGGTACAACAGCAGGGTCTCTCCCGGGGTCTCGATTCCTCAGAGAAAACCGCAAGTTTTGTGAGGCTTCTCCAGCAGCATGGAGACCAGAAATCGCTGTCAGCCGGGAGGCATCTTCACTCTCAGGTGGCAAGAGCAGGACTAGACAGAGACACATACCTTGGAAATCTCATTGTGAGAATGTATAGCAAGTGTGGAAGCCTCGATGACGCTCGCCAAGCATTCGAGAGGATTCATCGCCCGGACTCTGTCTCCTGGAACAGCATCATGGCCGCTTATATAAAGTGCGGGGAGATCGAGCAAGCCAGACGGGTGTTTGATTCCATGCCCAGAAAGAGCATCGTCTCGTGGAATGCGATTATTGTTGCATATGCCCAGACTAGTCATATGGAGATTGCAAAAGGCTTGTTTGACGCGGCACCTTGTAAAGACGTGGCTACGTGGAACGGTATCTTGACAGGATATGCGGACAATGGTCTTGTGAGCGATGCGAAGAATATTTTCGACAAGATGCCGGAGAGAAATGTAGTGTCGTGGAATGCTTTGATTGCAGCATTGGCCAAGAACTGGCATTTTGACAAAGCGTTCGCGGCATTTGCGAGGATGGACGTCCAGCCCAACGCGGTGACGTTTGTGACGGTGCTGGACGCGTGCGTCGGCGCCGGGGCCACGGGTGGGGGACTGGCTGCCGGCCGTCACGTCTTCGCTCGCGCCACGGCCATGGGAATGGTGGGCGCCGAGATCAAAGTGGGCAACGCGCTCGTCAACATGTTTGCCAAGTGCGGCAGCCTCGAGGACGCCAGGGCGACGTTCGATCTCATGCCCCGGAAGAACGCCCGGTCTTCCACGATCATGATCGCCGCGCTGGGTAGCTTTGGGCGATTGGAGGAGGCGCGATCGCTGCTAGATTCCATGGAGATCAAGACGCTCTTCGCGTGGAATGCGATGATCAGCGCTTATGCCCAGGCCGGCCGCGCGCGCGACGCCCTAGAGACGTTCGAGCGCATGGACGTGGAGCCCGACTCCATCACATTCATCGGCGTATTAGAGGCCGCCAGCTGGACGGCTGACCTAAGCACCGGCCTCCACGCACACGCCAGCATGGCACGGTGTGGCATCCACGTAGACACCCACGTGGGCAACGCGCTGGTTAACATGTATGGTAAGTGCGGCAGCGTGGCGCACGCCAGGGAGGCGTTTGAGGCGGTGCGTGACAAGAACGTGGTGACCTGGACGTGCATGATATCGGTGTATGCCCAGAACCGGCATGCCAGCGCGGCATTCCGGACGTTCCAGCTCATGGACCTCCACGGTGTCGCGTCCAACGAGGTGACGCTCGCTAACGTGGCAGACGCATGCGCCGAGCTGGCTGAGTTCCCTGGCATGGCCAAGGCCGTACACGAGGTGGCCATGGAGTTGGAGCTAGACCGCGATGTGGTTCTTGGGAGCGCGCTTGTTACCATGCACGGCAAGTGTGGCAATCTCGGCGCCGCGCGGCGGGCATTCGATCGGATCGAGCGGCGGAATCTCGTCTCCTGGACGGCGATGATCGCGGCGCTGGCCGAGAATGGGGATCGCGAGGGCGCCTGGGATCTCTTCCGGGCGATGGAGCTGGAAGGGATCGAGCCGGACGAGGTGTGCTTCATGGGAGTCCTGGCGGCGTGCAAGAACGCGGGCGAGATCCAGAGCGGATTCGAGTATTTCCAGTCCATGACCGAGGATTACAGCATGGATCCATCGCCGGGGCACTATACCTTCTTGATCGATCTGCTAGCGCGATCCGGGAAGCTGGAGCTCGCCGAGGATCTGATCCGAGGCATGCCATTCGAGCCCCAGGCGTGGACGTGGACGTCCCTGCTGGGGGCTTGCAAGATCCACTGGGACGAGCGGCGTGGGGCGATGGCGGCGCAGCGCGCGCTGGTGATCGATCCGCGCAGGACGGCGGCGTATGTGATCCTCTCCGATATTTGCGGCAAGAACAGTGTGGGAGTATAAAGAACAGAAAGGGGGGCCAGGAAATATTTAGGGTTTGTGCCCTTCTTCCTCTTTCTTGTTTTGGCGCTCGATCGATCGCAGCGATGGTGAGCCGCTTTGCTACTCTCTATGTGTTCTAACCCGTGCTCTTCCATGGCAGAGTGGATCGCCAAGGCGTGGCGGAAGAAGGTACTCCTTTTCTCCTCTTCTTTCTCTCCGCGCCTAGGTTTTCTTACGCCCGCGCTTCTTTCTCAGGTACTCGTATTCTCCATCGCCTCGGAGAGGGCGCTCCAGGTCGAGGAGCCCGCCACATTGCAGAAGGTATCACTCGCTCGTTCTTTCTTTCTTGTTTTCTTGCTTTTCTCTTTGTTGTGGCTAAGTAATGCACAGCAGCTATAGGAGCGATGGCCGCGACAAGGACGACGAGATCTCGTGCAATCCCGGAAACAATCTCTACGTTACTGGGCTCTCGACTCGAGTGACTGAGAAGGACCTCGAGGACTATTTCTCGAAAGAAGGCAAGGTAAACGTTATGCTTTTTCGATTTTGGTGGGATGAGTTTTGATTTGTTCTTGGTTTTTGAGTTCCAGGTAGTGGAATGCAGGCTTGTGGTGGATCCTCGAAGTCATGAATCGAGGGGGTTTGGGTTTGTGGCACTAGAATCTCTGGACGATGCGGAACGCTGCATAAAACGTTTGCACCACTCCAATCTCGAGGGCCGGATCATCACAGTTGAAAAGGTACTCTACTCCAAGCCGTGATGCTTCTCCAAAAATGGTGGTCACGATTGATCAATCAACCGCTTCTTCCCTGCTCAAAAAACAATCACCACTTGCATCAACCAATCAGTTCATCTCAACAGCTGCTCCGAATGATCCTCCCGAGCACTCTAGCACTCTAGCCAAAAACTTCAAGCTTGTTGGTGGTCTCCTCAGCAAGCTCAGCTCCAGCTCCTTCCATAAACATCTAAACAAAGCCATAGCTGCATCGAGTGGCCTCAACAGCAATAGCTCTTCCCTATATCAAACTCTTCTGCAACTTTCACGTCCCTCCGGTGTTTGAAGGTTGGCTTGATCTGACTAGTTCTCTCGAAAGTTTTAGTTTTTTCTTTTTCCTCTTTACAATCTAACAACGCGATTCTCTCTTTGTTCTTCAGGCCAGGAGGAGCCGAGCGAGAACCCCGACGCCCGGCAAGTACCTCGGAAGTAGAAGTGAGTACCAAAAAAAAGCTTTTCTTTTCATTTTAAGTTCTACTCGAACGTTGGCGGTCTGATTCGAACGAAAACTGTCAGCTGCAGCAGGCGGTGGAGGACGATCTCACGGACGCCGACACGACGATCGAGACCACCGCGACGATTACTACCGCGCTGGCAATGGCGGTGGCGGCGGCTACCACCGAAGGTCACCGCGGTACTCACCGTACAGGAGGTCGCCGCGGTACTCGCCATACCGCGACTATGATCGCTCGTACTCGCCGCCGCCGTACCGGCACCGCAGGGAGTACGACCGGTCCCCGCCGAGTTACCGGCGCTCGCCTCCATCGTATTACCATAGGTGAAAAGTTGGAAGTTGTAAGAAAATTACTAGGGTAAACATTAGGGAAATTTCTAGGGTTTATGGACTATGCGGGATTTCCGCGGCATTTGTTCGTCGGGATTTCCATAGCGCGAATTGAATGGCGATTTGCGAAGAAGAGCCATCGCCATCGCTCCTCCTGAGATGATCAGGAAACAAGTATGGGGGCGGGGAGTGGCGATCGATCGCGGCGTGGAGGCGTCGCTGGCGGCGCTAGAGAGCAGCTACTCCCAGGAGCCGCTCAACGTGTACGCGTCGCTGATCCGGCAGTGCGGCGACGCGCGCGCGTACCTGGACGGCCGCAAAATCCATCGCCATCTCGAGAAGAAGGGGTATGCCAAGAACAGCACTCTCGTCAATTGCCTCATCCAGATGTATGGCAAATGCGGGCAGCTCGAGGACGCGCTGGGCGTCTTCGAATCCTCGGACAGGAGCGAGCACTCGTGGAGCACCATCATCGGCGCCTTCGCCAAGAACGGGAGGAAGAAGGAGGCGTTGGATCTCTACAGGAGATTCAGGGGCGAGGGCGCGCGGCCTAGCGGGAGCTCGGTGCTCATCAGCGCCATGGCGGCTTGCAGCTGCCCGGATGATCTTGCCGAGGGGCGGGAGATCCACAGGGCTATCGTCTCCGCTGGATGGCTGCGCAGATCATCGGACAAGGTCTCAGACACCATCCTGGAGACCGCGGTGTTTAGCATGTACGCGAGGTGTGGCAGCATGGACGAGGCACGGGAGATCTTCGATCGAGTGCCGGACAAGGACGTGGTGTGCTACACGATCATGATCTCGGCGTATGCCCAGAAGGGGTATCACAGGGAAGCGCTCGAGCTCTACGAGGAGATGGACGAGCGTGGAGTGGATCCCAACGACAAGACCTTTGCGTGCGTTCTCTCGGCTTGCGCGGGGCTCAAGGACATGGAGAGAGGGAAGAAGGTCCACAGGAGGATCCGGGAGAGCGTCGCTCGCGTCGACACCGTGCTCCAGAACGCGCTGCTCAACCTGTATGCCAAGTGTGGGGATTTGGAGGAGTCGCGGAGGATCTTCGAGGCGATGGAGAGGAGGACGGTGGCGACTTGGAACACGATGATCACGGCTTACGTCCAGCACGATTTCTTCCAAGAGGCGCTGGAGGCTTTTCGCCGGATGGACGCACCACCCAGCTCCATCACTTTCACGTCGGTTCTCGGGGCCTGCTGCTCCCCCGACGATCTGGAAACTGGTAAAGCCATTCACAGGCAGATTGGTGCTAGTTCTCCGCAGATTCAAGCTGACGAGATTTTGCAGAACTCGCTCGTCACCATGTATGGGAAGTGTGGGAGCCTGGAGGACGCGGAGAGGGTGTTCCATGGGATTCGTAGGAAGAACGCTTTCTCGTGGACTGCGATGATCACGGCTTACGCGCAGAATGGATATGAAAGGAGAGCGATCGAGGTATTTGGTGATATGATGTCGGAGGGAAGGGTGGAACCGGATCCTATAACTTACGCTGGCGTTCTCACTGCTTGCAGTACTCTCGGCGACTTGGAAACCGGTATGAGGATTCACGCGTTGATACGTTCCAAAGGAGTGGAGTCCGCCATGGTTTCGACTGGGCTGATAGACTTATATGGAAAGTGGGGTTTCTTCGAGGACGCATTACAGGTTTTCGAGAGCGTTCGAGACAGGGACGTGGTTATCTGGACTGCCTTTATCGCCGCGTGTGTCTACCACGGACAGTCGGGTTTTGCTCTCGAGCTATTCAGAAAGATGGAAGCGGAAGGCTTACAGGCAAATAACGTTACTTTCTCCAAGATTCTTGCTGCTTGCAGCAACTTGGAAGACTTTGAGACAGGGAAAACCATCGAAGACCGCATATACACGTTGGGCCTAGAATATGACGATGTTCTTCAAGATGGGATACTGTCCTTGCACGCCAGGTGTGGGAGTTTGGTCGGGACCAGAGAAATGTTCGACCGGATGCCGCACAGAACCGTAGTAACGTGGACAACTATGATAGCAGCTTACAACCAACGGGGGTACTCTATGGAGGCACTCGAACTCTACCACTGTATGGACATTGAGCCGGACGACATCGCTCTCTCAAACGTTCTCCAGGCGTGTAGCAGGCTTAAAAACTTGGAGCAAGGCAGGGCAGTCCATTCACGTATTGCCTCGAGGGACTTTGAGCCGAGCTTGATGGTTCAGACGCTGCTGGTCGACATGTACGTGAAGTGTGGGGATCTGGCTGAAGCAAGGAGAACATTTGACGGGTTCAAAGCGAGGGACGTGATCTCTTGGACGTCGCTCATCACAGCCTACAGCCACGAGAACTTTGGACGGGAGGCGCTGGAAGTGTTTCACAGCATGGAGTTAGAAGGCGTGGAGCCAAACAGCATCACCTTTTGTACCGTCATAGATGCTTGCTCGAGGCTGAGCTCGCTTCTTCCTGGCAGAGCTCTTCATTCGCGCGTTGTTGCGACTGGTCACATTTCGGATGAGTTCGTCGGGAACGCACTCGTCAGCATGTACTCCAAGTTCGGCCGCGTAGACTTCGCAAGGGTGGTTTTCGACAGCATTCCGGTGAAGAGATATCCGTCCTGGCGCGTGATGCTGGTGGCCTTGACACAAAACGGCCACTCTCACGAGGCTCTAGAGATGTACAGCCGGATACACCTGGAAGGTTTCCGGCCCGGGAGTCCGATCTTCTCCGCAGCTTTGGTCTCATGCACGGCTCTCGAGGACGTGAGCAGAGCCCGGGCGATTCACGGCGTGATCAAGTCGAGTGACTTCTATCCAGACCTCGTCCTCAGCAACGTCTTGATGAACGTCTACGCCAAGTGTGGAGAGCTGGAGGAAGCCCGGCTGGTCTTCGACCAGATGACAGAAAAGAACGAGGTCTCCTGGACGACAATGATCGGCGGCTACGCGCAAAACGGCCGTCCAGCGGAAGCTCTAGAGCTCTACAAAGCCATGGACGTCCAGCCGAACTTCATCGCGTTTGTGCCGGTTATAAGCTCCTGCGCAGACCTGGGTGCGCTCGTCGAAGGCCAGAGAGTCCACGCGCGGCTCTCAGACGCAGGCCTCCAGAACAACGAAGTGATCGTCACCGCGCTCGTCAACATGTACGCCAAGTGTGGCAAGCTCGGGCTCGCGAGGGAGTTCTTCGACAGCACCTATTGCCCGGACGCCGGCGCGTGGAACTCCATGGCGACTGCCTACGCTCAGTTCGGCCACGGCAGCCAGGTGCTGGAGCTCTACCGGGAGATGTGCTTGCAAGGCGTCCAGCCCAACGGGATCACGCTCCTCAGCGTTCTGGTGGCTTGCAGCCATATGGGAATGCTGGAGGAGTGCGAGCACCGCTTCGAGTGCATGGTCGCGGACCACGGCATTGCTCCAACGTCGGAGCACTACTCGTGCATGACAGACTTGCTGGGGAGGTCAGGGAGGCTGGAAGAAGCCGAGAAGGTGGTGAAGATGGCGAGCGGCGAGTCCGGCAGCGAAGCGGCCAGTCCGGTGGCTGTGTCGGCGTGGATGAGCTTCCTGGGAGCTTGCAAGACGCACAACGACTGGGGTAGAGCGGCGGGGGCGGCGGAGAAGCTGTACGAGCTGGATCCGGAGGACTCGGCTCCTTACGTGCTTCTTTCGCAGACTTACAGCCCACGGGCAAAGAAGTGAGACCGCCATTCCGCCACTCTTGAATTTTCGCAAAGGTTGATGCTTTGAAAGGCTGAGATTAAAGATGCCCTTATGTTTAAATCTTAAATAGGTCCTCAGAAAAACCTAAGTTGATATTAGGGCAAATAGAAGATATTTATGGTTATGGTGAACATATTAATATAGTCATGCTCATGCTTCTGCCTTGTGTTTATATAATTGCTATAGTTTATGGAAGAAAGGGCAAGCTTATGTTACTCACTTGATTTATATCATAGAATATATATATATTCAGTGTGCATTGACAATGACCATTGGAAACATATGGTATTTACCAAAGACCTCTATACCTCTAGAAAAAAAAAGAAATACATTCTCATTCAAGATTTCGAAGAATTTTGTTATGGGTGTTGTGGTATAACAAATGCACATACATGAAGTTTTTCAACACATAACTTTATCTATTAAATTTTTTCTCCTTGACATTAAGCAAGATTAATTAATTTCCAACACACTTATATATGTGCTAGGTTGACCAAATCTCTTTCCCCAAGTCCGTCATATAAAGCCTGGCATGACCATCGTTCTCCATAGACAGAACATACGAATACTTGGATCCATAACTCGTTTTCGTCTTCCAGCTGACCCCCTGCGATCCAGTGACCATGAGCACCCCATTCTTCCAGAGAGACAAAACACACGCTTGATCCCTCCCACGGAAAATCCTCCTCACGATCTCCCCGCTGTGACTACTTCTCACCACCAGATCACAGCCGGCCTCCATAGACAGCCTAAACTCCGTGCTCGGAGAGATTAAGCTGTTTCCCTCGGGTAGCGTCGATCCCTGGGGATGACTCCCGCCAACTAGAGAGGTAGAAAAGATCCAGCAATTCCCGACGTCAAGGTCAACTGCCTGGGCGACCGAGTCAACGACTGTGCTGACTTGGTCAACTACCACAGCGTGGACGATACTGCCGCTGCCTGATCCACCTTCTTCAGGCCTATCGCCAGGATTACGGTCGAATGGGGTTTGCTGGAACTCATACTCAATCCCATAGTAGCCGAGCACTATGTTGACGAGGCCATACCAGTTCTGTGTTGGACCCGGGTCTAGCAGCTCTTGTCGGATGGTTGCAATCATCCGCTCAACGTTGTCCAGAAGGTCGCTCCCTGGTAGGCTCGCACGACTCGGCGAGACAGAGCAAATACCTGCATTCTCGGTGTAAGGTTGGTTATAGAGCCACACTCTCACGCGGACGTAGGCATTGTTTGCGTACTGCACCACGAATCCCACGCTCCTCCCTGCAAAGTAGCCAAATTGGGCTCTAAATCTCATCCCCATGAAGTTCTCGAGGCGAACCATGAGGTCTTCGACACGCTCCACTGCAAGCAGCGCATAACCAAGCCGAAACCTGAAGATCCCACCAAAACGGTGATCCGCTGGGGGCTGTCCATAAGAGAGGAGATTTGAGCTCATGAGCAAAACAAGAATTAGAGCTGCAACAATGAACACCATGTTTTTCATTCTCGCTCGCTTCTTAGTGCTGTGAGCAAATATCTCTTATTTATATCAATGTAAGTGATACAAATGTCTTCAGTTAGAACGTAGCTACTTTTTGTTTTTGGCATATTAGCTGAGTGATCAAGGAGAGATTGTGTAAAAATGTGTTTTAAAATTTTATATTGTGTATTAAAATGTTTAGTTTACTTCGAACTTAAGGAGTTTTGGGGATTTTCGTGTTTTTATTGGTCTATCTATTTATTATATATTTATTTTCATATTTTTCCACATATTATTTATGGCAATAAATATGTGATTAGCATTATATATTTACACATGTACTTTTTTATTTTTTGTTTTGAGTTGTGCAAAAATATTATGCATACTATCACTTTTCAATTGTTATATAAACAATCAAACATGAATGCCTATATAATATTTTTGTCATGAGGTATGCCATATATGTGTGGGGCATGACACATTAGACTATTACAGAAGATTAATGCCATGTTATTTCAAACAATATTATATTACCACAAATTTAGCGAGGGTATTTTTTTCTATTCTTGTGTTATTAAACATAGATTTGTGATTTCTGATCATCTTTCTTATCTCATTTCGCTTAATGACTCAATTCTCATGTCTTGGAGGTGTATTTTAATTGCAATATATGATGGAAAAAATCACATGCAATTGATTGGAGCATAGAGGTAAGAACAAAACATTTCTTTAGGTATTTGGGGCATTGAATGTAATGGTTTTTCTGTGAGCAAGTGGATTTTATTATAATTATGATATAATGTTAGTTTTATTGATTTTTTATTATCTTAATCATGCACTAAAATTTTTGGTATTGTAATGGTTTGTTTAGGCTTGTTGTGCAAAAGGTTTTTTATTACCTTATCAAGGAGACAGTCTTGAGTACTTAGCAATGGTGAGTTTAGCTCACAACATCCAAAAGGAATTCAAAATTCAACTCAAAAATGTCATATTTAAAAGCCTTAAGTTTAAATTCTAATGAATCAAAAAATTTGATTAAGAATTAAATTTTTCGTAATGCAAAAAAATCACATATATTGCACTCATTTGACATTGCCATGCATACATGGTAAGTATTAATGCATGCCTATGTGTAAAACTAAAGTTGTGTTCAAAATATTATTTTGTGGGCTATATATATGTGTCACAAAAATTTAAGCACATGTGTGATTTTATTTTTCATATATTTTGTAAGCTTTTAAATCTTTTACCAGACCACCCACCCAAGTACACCTCCTTTCTTGGGAGGTATATATCCCCCTAAACCTGCTATTATAAACTATATGCCATATATTATTATATAATGTTTTTGATGTTCTTCTATTCTTTGAGCCTTCTAGGCCCTTATATTTATTCTTATTTACTGTTATGATTTCTAGATAAATAGAAAATATCTAGTTATCAAACCAACAGATAATATAGTAGTGTTTAAGCCTATTATATTGTTTTATAAAATTATATCCTCACAGACACACACACACACACACACACACACACACACACAGATATATATATATATATATATATATATATATATATATATATATATATATATATATATATATATATATATATAGTAAGTGCTAAAATTCTTAATTAGTATAATAACCTTTAACTATATTTCAAAAGGAATATAAACTGTTTACTAATCAAAAAATTGTCTACAAAGGATAAGGCAGAGATTTATGACTTGCTACCTATGGCTTATCCATGTGTTTCTAGAGAGGCAGCAAATGGCTTCCTAGATTGCCCAGATGCTTGAGATCTGTCCTCTCAAGCTCTAAAACCTAGCTTTTATCCTCGCTCTCTCTCTGCAAAAGCACATTCCAAGTATATTCTTTACACCCTTAAACCAAATTGAAAAATCACTGCTTAATCAAGGTACAAAATTAGTTTAACTATTAAATTTTTATTAATTTTTTGGAAAAAAGAAAATGTAGATTAATATTAAGGTTAAGATTAAGGTTAAGATGGTATTTCTTTTTAAAGATTTTTCAAATGTTAACAATTTTCTTAAAGGTTTGAAATGAAAATTGGTTTTTGCTGCTAATGTGACTGGGGTGGTAGAGAATCTAAACCTAGATTATGCTTGAATATTCTAGAATATTCTACCTTCTTATTCATTTATATTAATCTTGTATTTATAATTTATAAATATGTTTATAATTTATAAACTTTCCTAAACGCTTTTTAGTATATTCTAGTTTATTCTACCATCTAATGGTTGATATGCAATAAGATTAATCTTATATTTATTAATTATAAACATGTTTATAATTAAACTTCAATTTGATTGATTAAATTAATAAATAAGAATAACACTAAGAAAACAAGTGCTAATAGCATAAAAAAATCCTTAGTACTCTTGGTCCCGCTGAGTTTCGAACTCAGGATCTTTTGCGTGTAAAGCAAACGTGTTAACCACTTCACTACAGGACCCATCCAATGAGAGAGAGAGCAGCAAAATTTCCCTCCGCCAAAAAGCCCACTCAAGTGTGCAGCTACAAAAGTAAAAGCTCATAAAAGTATGTTTTGACTTTGAGGTGGTTCCACTGAGTCTCGAACTCAGGACCTTTTGCGTGTGAAGCAAACGTGATAGCCACTACACTATGGAACCTAGTTGACACCCAACTGAAATATTCCTTTCTGCGACGTGAAATCCCAGCACTGGACGGCCAAATCTCTTCTTAATTCCATTTAGAGAGATTTAGTTTGGGAAAATCTTGCGTGAGGGTTGTGTCATCATCTGGTTCTATAGTGTAGTGGTTATCACATTTGCTTAACACGCAAAAGGTCCTGAGATCGATGCTCAGTGGAACCAAATCCCCAGTTGCTCAAATTTTTTTTCTTTCCTCGTTACGCCACCGCACCACTTCACCGCCAATGGATTTGGACTACGTGAAGGTCGGCGATGGAAGATTGGTAGCGTTTCGGGAGCTGGGCTGCCCGCGCGAGGCGGCGTCGCGATCGCTCCTGGTTCTCCACGGGCTTGGATCGTCCCGGATCGCGGCGATTCCTGGTAGGATTTCTCCTCTCTTTTTACCTCTTGTTGAGCTCCAAGAAGAACCAAGAATGTAGGTGTTCGCCAGGAGCTCCTGGAGGAATTTGGCGTGCGGCTGGTCGCGATTGACAGGGCAGGATATGGCAAGAGCGATCCCGACCCCAACCAGACCCTGCGCTCGTCGGCGGTGGATTTGGAGGCCATCATCGACAAGCTGGAGCTGGGGCGCAGGGTGTGGCTCCTCGGATACTCGGGTGGCGCTGGCTACTGCTGGGCTGCCGCGCGGTACATTCCTCACAAGATCCACGGCATTGCTCTCTGGGCGCCCGTTGGAAACTACTGGTGGAAGGTAAGCAAACTCTTTCCTTGAAAAGGATCACTCTCTCGTGTTCTTGTGATCTTTCCACTTCGAGCAGGGAATTTCGGATGCTCAGCGCAAGTCCATGATCTCGGCTCTCACGCCAAACACCAAGCTTCTCTTCTCGTATATGAAATATGTTCCACCTTCGATCCTCCGGCTCTATGCGCGATTTGTGCTCGCTCGCCGAGCGGGGCAGCGATGGGTGGATCACTGCAAGGCGACGCTTTCTCCCCCGGATCAAAAGCACCTCGCGCAGCACGAATTCGCCGGACTCCTGCTCAAGTAAGTCACTCGCTAGATTCTTGTCTCTCGCTCGCGCCAACTTTGCGGAAGCAGGGACAACCTTGAGTCGATCACTTTCAACCAAGGCGCTGGGCTGGCCAAGGACTTGGAGCTGCTTTGCTCCTGCGACTGGGGATTCGAGCTTGACGAGGTTGGGCGGTGCTTCGAGGGGCCGATCCACATCTGGCAGGGAAGCGACGACCGGCTGGTGTCGCTGGAGCTGCAGCGCTGGATCAAGTCGACGCTGCCGCAGACGGTGGAGCTCCATGAACTCGACGGC